TATATATATGTGTATATATATATATGTATATATATATGTGTATATATGTATATATATGTATATATATATATGTATATATATGTATATATATATATGTATATATATGGTTGAAAAAAGGTGTGCGCAGTAGTCTTTGTTGGTTTGTCCTGTCTTCACTGTTCTCCGTGATACTCCAAATCTAACCAACACTATGGTGGCTGCAATATGCTCAGCATTATTGAATTTATCTCTACAGGTTCAAAGCAGTTGCGACTAAAAGTAAACTGGACCTGGTTAACGAGGGCTTCACTGAGTTTACCATTGAAGACTTTCACAACACTGTAAGTTTCTTGGACAAGAGAAATGACATTCATTGTTTATTGCAAACGGACAAACCTCAATGCAGAAATTCTGAAGTAGCAAATAGCATGAGAATTTTCACAAAAAAGACAATAGGTTGATTTAACTACACTGTCGATATCCGGATCAATTTGAGTTTATATGAGCTTGTTATTATCAGTTTAGATGACACAATTGTGTGTCTCGATATGACTTCAACACACTACAATTCTATTGAAAGGCGATAAATTATCGCACAGCCCTAATCAAAGCATGCACAGTATGTCTTGTATCTTGTTGAATTAGGTTTGTGATGCTGTTAACTGTAATTTGCTCGATGCCCTGCCAACTCTGAATGGTCACTTGCCAAAGTACATGATGCGTTTGGTCTGCTGGAGCAGACGGGTGGACTAGATTTGACCAGTCAGACAGTAATTTGGCATGATGGACACGTACGTATCTAAATTATCTAAATAATGTCTTTCCTCCAAGTTCATGGACTTGATCGAACTGTGTGAGAAACAGCCCAGCCTGCAGGAGCTGCTGAACTCCTTCAACGACCAAAACGTGTCAGACTATGTGGTCGTGTACCTGCGGCTGCTCACCTCAGGCTACCTGCAGCGAGAGTACGGTTTCTTTCAGCACTTCATAGAGGGAGGACGCTCTGTCAAGGAGTTCTGTCAGCAGGTGCGTTTTCACTTTGAACTTAAGATTTACTTCTAGTTCACGAGAAACATATCTGGGTCTCATAACCAGTTTCCTCTTTTGCCAGTTTGTGTGAAAGTGTTAATAGAAAAGATGGTCACCACCTTGGAAAGTGTCACTATTACACTTGGATTTAGGGGCATGCACACACATATTAAAATAATGGATCAATATGTTACACAGCATATGAAGCTTTGTGTTGCATAAAAAGAGTACAGTCAGCTAACAATGTAGAATAGATGATTGCAATATTCAGTATCTAACCATTGAAGTTCTGTGAATACATACTGACAATGTTTTTCTTTTTCAAGGAGGTAGAGCCCATGTCTAAAGAAAGTGATCACATTCACATCATCGCCTTAGCCCAGGCCCTAAACGTATCCATCCTGGTGGAGTACATGGATAGAGGAGAGGGAGGAACAGTCAATCACCACGTTTTCCCTGAAGGCGGTGACCCACGCATCTTCCTCCTCTATAGACCTGGCCATTACGACATCTTGTACAAATAACACTCCTAACCACAGCCCACCTCATTCTCCTCCTGCTGTACGGTACAGCAGTGGGTTAAAAAAAATAATTCAGCAGCCACGTTGATGAAGCATACATCTGTGTATAACACTACACTCATGTATTTGAAAAAGATAAAATCACATTACATGCCTCCCTTACCCCTCTCGCCCCAAACTCCCAAGTCTATCCTCAGTCATCACAAAATGGTTAATTAAAAAATCTTTGGAAAAAAATAGAAGTGACTCCAGGCATTTAGAGTTGTACAGGTTTTTTTGATTTTTTTTTTTGTGGTTGTAAATGTTATCTACTTGCTTTATGTTGGATTCTTTTCCTTTGTTACACTGCGTTTCATTGAGTTTTATTAAAGGGATTTACATCTTATTTCTTGTCTTTTTTTCTTAGGAGTCAGATTGAAGTGTAACAAATGATACGTTATCAATGGATCACTTACAATTTTTTGAACAGCAGTGGAAAAATAGAATTCCTGTTAGCAAATTAAACGGATAAAACAAAGACATTGTTAGGCATAATGAAATAAACCCCATAGTTAATTACAATTGTATATTTTGATAGTGTGGCTGTGCCAGGCACGAATCCCACCTGTAAAACTGCATTGGTTACTTGTTCACATTGCGCATCTATTCAATCTAATGCACAGTTTCAGTGCATGGATTATACAGCAATAGTGTGCATTGTGTACTGAAATTACTACAAGAGAACAGTTAATGTGCGCACACTTTGTTTACACCTGGATTTACGCATGCGCAGGACGCGTCATAGCGGCTTGCGTAAACCTATTCAAAGATGGTCGTCTACTACAGCAGCAGGCGCTGTCTCGTTACCGTTTTCGTGGGCGCCAATACTCTCTGCTGGTGCCCAGAAATGTGGGCAGAGTGAGCGTTCTTTCGTTGGACAAGAGTGAAGACGGCCAAAGTCGCTGAGGGAAAATGTCTCCGTTTACGAAGTCGCTGACTTTGTCAGGTGTGATAATAGCTGCAGCGCGTGCAGCACGGCGTCAGTACTCCTCTCTGACAGGTGGGCTCACACCGACACGTGTTATGTGTTCAGGTATTATTATTCGATGGCTGCATTGACTTCATGTTTCTGTGTCGGTACTGTAACAGTAAGTGACACATGGCGAAGCTCTGCAGGAGCTCCAGTGGGTTAAGCTAGCTCTAATGTTATATAGGTCATATATGACTAGCGTTAGTTGAATAGGTACTGATGTAGGACGTTCTCCTTTTACTTAAAGTGAGTTGCAGGTGTGTGCACTGACGTCTTAGCTAATTGTCACCGATATCTTAGCTACAGAAGCTGACCATAAAGTAGCACTTTGTTGTGCAATAACGTCACACTCAGTTGCTAACTTGTTAGCGACACCAAGCTAATGCAATCTATAACACAGCCTGGATACATCAACACCTATTTAACAGTTTAAAGATGAACTGAACATTATAAAGTACACAAAGGGAGGATTCAATGCAGGACTGTTGAGTGTATGTTGCTTTTTTATTTTAATGAGCAATGTGAATCATTTGAGTTTGTCAGCTTTGTAGATTGTCTTCATGCCGAGCTTAGTGGCTTCCAAGGACCCAAGAAAAGGTCTTAAATCATATATTAAAAGAAAAGATATTTGACACATTAAATTGATAGATTTTAAATTGACTTTAGCATAAAGTCCCTCCAAATATGACAGAAGGATGGAGGCATTAAGGCAAGTTGTATCTGTGTTTTACTGCTAATGTTCACTCACTAACTCATGTGACATAATCCCATCTGTGTTTCTGCCTAGCTGAACTGATTGAAAACATGGATAAGAAAGCAACCTGGGACCGCTTCTACACTGAGAGCAGCAGCAGCACAAACACCTTCAAACACTTTGAGTGGTTCTTTGGCTTCGATGCTGTCCGGGACTTCATTATGCCCCTATTGCAGACCAAGCCCCACCCAGACGGTTTGCTCCAAGTCCTGGATATGGGCTGTGGCACTTCTGCTTTAGGGCCCTGTATTTACAGACACTCTCCTCTCCCGGTCCGGGTCACTTGCGCAGACATTTCCCCCATAGCTGTGGGACTAATGCAGGAACACGTCCAAACCAAAGCCATTCAACCTCACAATCTTTCCTCTCGGCTTGAGTTCGTAGAGCTGGACTGCACACAGCTCCACAAGCACTACGGTTGTAGCAGTGCGGACCTTATAGTTGATAAGGGCACCACAGATGCCTTGTTGAGGTCTAAGGAAGGGAAATGGAAGGCCGATCTGGTGCTGAAGCAGTGTTTGAAGGTGTTGCGGAGCTCAGGGTCTCTGCTCCAGTTCTCTGATGAAGACCCTGATGCCAGGCTGCTGTGGCTGGAGACCGAGGCACAGGAGCCGGGGGTGATGGCAGCAGATGTTGGGGTGCAGGAGGTTGGGGAGCTAAGGGGAATGACTTACTACTGCTACCAAGTGACTCCTCGCTCTATTGTATAGCAACTTTCTTCATCTGGATGGTGGTAATATTAAATGAGTAAACTACTGAACTGATTGTAAAAAGTAATTGATAAGGTACACAGACAGAGTGTGACTTATCCACCAAACTGGACCTCCACAGTCCGACAACAAGAGATTTACTACTTATAAAATAACCTGAAGGTAAAGAATGACCTCTTTACGAAATTATAAAAGCTGACAAACCACTTAAACTGTCTGAGAAGTTCGAGGGAGGTCGGAGACTTTCTAGTGGGTTGGTGGTTTTGCCCGTCCTGGCTCTCTGTCCTTCTCTCCAGCCCCTGCTCACTCCCCAGACCTGCCAGTCCTGGTCACATGACATCCCCTCCCACCTACACACTTGTTCCCACTTTCCTCATCAGACCTGTAGTTTCTAGAAAACACACCTAAAAGATTTTACTCTACTATATTTTTGGAGTTTTACGATAAGTAATTGTTCTTTGTATATAAGAAACATTTCACCAACAAAGACCACGCTTCTTATGATTGCAAATTAGTTTGAAATAACAACATACATCACAAAAAACATAATAAATAGGAGAACTGAAGCCACTGGAAGATAATTGACAGACTTATACAGGGAGACACAGGTTAAATCAGGAGAAACTTAATTTACAGTGAAAAAATACATTTATTAAATTGTGCAAAGTAAAGTTCAAATTTTGGAGAGTCGACACTGGTGGGGGTGTTGAAGACAGTAGGGGCAGGCTGAAGATCTCGATGATGGCATGTGGAGTGGGACTGCCCTCAGTGGAAGAAACCTTGAGCACCAGATGTGATGATGAATGGGGAGGAGGGTCACATCGGTTCATACTGAAATGACAGCTGACTGCACAGAAGAGAACAGGTCTTTAAAGTTTGACGGGAAATGTTACAGGTCAGATATGCTACTGGTTTACACGACAGGAGTTTGGTGCCAGTATCTTACCACAGCATCCTACATCGGACACCGGAAGTACCCTAACGCATGTTGGCACATGATTTGAAGACTGGCCATCCCCTTTTGATACTACTGAAACAGCAGCCCAACACAGCGACATGTCACCGTGCAGGACTCTCGCCGACTTGTCTCTCGAGAGACAGTCGGGGAGATACAGTCACGTATCTCCCCGACTGAGGAGGTACGCGACTGTATCTCCCCGACTGTCTCTCTCTCGAGAGAGAGTCGGCGAGATACGCGACTGTCTCTCCCCGACAGTTCACGCTCACTGTCACGATCAGGATAACCAGGGAAATTACTCTTGCATATGTCACAACTACGTTAGAGGCACGACCAGCGTCCAGATAATGATAGACCTTCACGTCAACAGAAGTTCACCGTCCCAGCATAACTGAGATGGGTGGGAGCCCCCCCAGGAAGCCTGACCACAGTCGAATGAAATAACTTTAGAAATCATTGGCGGCATGCTTTGTCGTCAGACGCAGCATGCTGACTGTGCAGATGCTATGACCAGTGGTTTTGCCGTGGCCTGCCTCAGAGCTTTCCAGGTGTCTTCTGTGGAGTTGTTGAAGACAGTAGGGGCAGGCTGAAGATCTAGATCAGGGGTGCCCACACTATTTCGGCTTGCGAGCTACTTTTAAAATGACCAAGTCAAAATGATCTACAACATTAAAAATACTAAATATCTATTAATTTATATATATATACTGAGTATACTTTATATTTACAATATATGTTGGCGTACCTTGCATAACTGCATGAACCCTTATGGCACAATACAATTCTGTACATTTTTGGTCATTACCTTACTCTGATGACTTGCACTGAATGGAATTGGCCAGAGTTGCATAGTCCGGACAGTAGCTGCTGATAGCCAGCCTCAAGCAGACTTCCAAATGATCATCAGTTATGGTGGAACGGTGTTTGGACTTAATGTTCTTTAAAGACTGAAAAATGTCCTCTCCCCGAGTGTGTTCTTTCATGGGCAGTATTGTTAACAGCTCTTCATTTCCAGTCATATCTGTAAACACCATCCGAATAAAAATGCACAACTGGGCTGCATCACTTAGATCCGTAGACTCGTCCAATTGCAGGGAGAAACACTCGCAGTCTGCTGTGTCAAATCCTCGGCCATGACTTCACAGCGCCGTGTGACTGTACTTCTTGATAGCTCGAGAGCTTCCCCACAGGAAGCCTGACCACAGTCGAATAAAATAACGTTATAAACATTAGCGCCATGCTTTGTCGTCAGAGTGAAATCTGACGCTATGCAGACGCTCTGCAGACGCTATGGCCAGTGGTTCTGCCGGGGCCTACCTCAGAGCCTCGGAGCTGTCCAGGTGTCCTCTGGGAGGTTTAGGAAGATACTGAGGTTAATTTGCACAAGCGCCTGGCTTCATACACAAGATGACGCCTATATTCGAGAACCCTGCTGTGTTGACACCTCAACATTCTATTTTATTCGAGAACTCTGCTGTGTTCCACTTCCATCCAGCATTCTATTCTATTCTGTTCTATTCTCAAGGGCAGATAATGTCTCCTTTTATGAATTCACTATTTGCTATTCCAGCGTTCATCATGTTTTCAATGGCACAGTTTTCACTAAACTCCACACATTATGACCCATTAGCAGTAATGAAATAACACTATATTACAGTAAAAATATTTAGTCTATTGCTTTGCAGATAGCATAGATTTCAGATCATCACAAGTCACAACAAAAGTTTAAGCTGTTTCTGTTAACTCCAGAAATGATCCTTTTAACATTGTTGAGCTGTTTATGTTTGAAAATGCATATTCAAATGCTAATATATTGCATCCCATAGTTAGGACAATTAAATGTATTCATTGTCTTAAGTTGTCTTTTGTTTGTGTGGCACGTTTCCGTGCTCAGAGTGTAAGGAAAGATTACCCAACATATGAACATATACTATTTTAAATTGCAGGTAAACTCATTTAGTAACTGTTAGGGAATCTAAGCTCAATACGTCCCTCTTGTGTTTGCACGGGTGTATTGCTTATAAAAACCTCGTCTAGGAATTGTGGGAAACGAGAGTCACATGAGTAACACAAAGTACGGATTAGTTCTCTCTTTAAATGTATTTTAAGTGACAAAAGCACCGGCACAACATCTCGCTCATTTGATAGTTTTAATTCCATATGTGCACAATTAAAGTGTTTAATAATGATTTAGAATCTATTGTGCAGTTATAAAAAAAACGAATGAGCTCCTTTATATATACAGCAACAAGTTAGATCACAGACAGGTATGATCACAGACATGTGTGATGCAGTGAGAGCTTTCCCAGCCAAGCTGCGCCTGTGGGAGACTCAGATGCAGCAAGGAAACGTCACTTTCCGTGATGCCAAACCGTACGTGTCTCCACCGCTGTGTTCCCGAATGCGCATTTTGCTGATAAACTGGGTGCACTTGGCACAGAGTTCACTCTGCGATTTAACGACTCTGCAGCTCAGGAATTGAAATTTGAACTGCTCCGTTTGCAGTTGGCATGGACCTGTGCACATCCAAATGGAGCTGATCAACCAGTGTAATGACACACTCAAGGCAAAGTATGACTCTGTGGGCGCTGCACAGTTTCCAAGCTTCATCCCCGAAACGATGCCTCAACAGCACAGAACCTAACCCCAGACATGAATGAACTGGCAGCCAAGAAAAGATGCCAAACATCTGGCTCTGGTACATATGCATAAATGATTGTAGCCTATTTCTTTTTGCACTTTGTTCAATATACCTTCTATCCTGTTTATTAAATGGTGACTCTATTTGGTCCTCAACGTAGTCCCAATTTTTAATTTTGTTCCTCTCTGTGATTGAGTTTGACACCCCTGGCATATACTGTGTTATGCTAAAAGGTGTCAAATTTTGTAACTTTTTTGGTTGTTAGTGTGCCGCGGGATCTTTTGAATGTAAAAAATGTGCAGCGGCTCGGTCTAGGTTGAAAAACACTGGTCTACAACAAGCCCAAATAAAGTGGTCTAGTTACAACAATAAGTCCACCTACATTGTCGTTGGGGTAGAGGACCCTGGAGATGTTCTCAGCCAAGTTTCTGTCCAGCACGGCTTAAATGTAGCCACCAACATGGGACATCGGTTACATTCATATTTAGTAGCTGCTGATCTATTTACACAATATCAATGATGATTCCTCAGCAGTACAGATGACAATACTCACAGTCCTTTAGGTTAAAGTCACAGGGGGCCTTAGCAGACCACAGTCTCATGGTGTTGACTGGGGTGTCATAAGGAAGAGCCAGAACCACCCGAAACCAGTTCAAAATAGACTTACAATACGCTTATTGTTCCAGGAGGAAGAGGAGGAAGAAGAGGAAGAGGAGGAAGAAGAGGAAGAGGAAGAAGATGATGAAGATGAATATGACCGAGTTCTGAGGGCCTGCCGTGAGTTGAGACGAAAGATGGATTCTGTTTGCTTTGACGCTGAACGTGTTTTCTCTCTACGTTTTGGTGCTCCGCCCCCAGTCCCCCAGGGGTCAGAAGAGTCCACCAGGAGGAGCAGGGAAGAGGACCTAACGGAGCAGGTAAGTGTGAAGAGGCAGAGGAACGGTGAGGACGACCACGAGGACGCAGCACCCTCCACTTCAGGCCTCGGTCCCTCCACAAAGAGGACCAGAGAAGAGGACAACAGAGAGTCAGCGCCCTAACCCTTCAGGCCTCGGATCCTCCATGAAGAGAAACAGAGAAGAGGACTACAGATGGTCGGAGCCCTCCACTTCAGGCCTCAATTCCTCCACAAAGAGGACCAGAGAAGAGGACTACAGGGAGTAATAAGCATGAAGAGATTAGATTGTGAGCGATCAATCATCAAAAACTAACCATCAACACAATTAAGTCAATGACAATGTAGCAAGGCTAAAAGGGACACGTTTAAGATGAGATGCTCACATGATCATATCCTGTAGTTCTACTTGGATGTGATTGCTATTGATTGCTTTGTAATATTACCAACTGGATAATGACAGTGAGAGGACATGAGCTTCATTGGCCTTATATATAATATACTGAAATGTTTACTAAATGAGATGAGGCTGGAGATGGAAAATGGAGGGTATTCTTTTTACCTTTGTATGTATACCTTTTGTGTATCAATGTTTTGTATGTTGTATGAGCTACTAGATGACTTAACTTCCATCTGGATAAATAAAGTATCCATCTATCTATCTAGGGGGTTAGTGCATCATTTTTCAAAGTGAGCCCTGACAACTGAATTGACATGTTGTGCCCCAACTCCATACTAGATGCTAATTGTACACAGTATGTACTAATCTTCTTAAGATTCTGTTTTTGCTGCTAGTTTACAGTAAATGATACAATGCTTGCAGGACGGATATGAATCGAAATACATCCTTAGCATGCTTTATTTAAAGAAGCTTTTCCTGTTTAGAATTTTAAAAATGCACAG